CAGCACTGTCTACAAGTCTACATTCCTCTCCCATCTCTCAACTGACGGGATTGGAGTCCAAGCAAATTCCAGTGGGCTGTGAGAGGAGAAGGAAAGGCAGCTGGAGAAGGTTGCATTGTTGAGCAAGTTACCCTTGTGGGCAACTGGAGCTTAATTCCATGGGGAGTTCTGGGACTCTGTGTGGGAAAAGCATCAACGTTATCCAATCCAAGTATCTGCCCTCACTGGCTGAGGCTGCTGGTGGGTGGGGGGATTATTCTGCAGTGCTTCCCACTTGCCCCGGACATTGGGAAGTTTACCTGAGGGCTCTATTACAGCCAGAATAAAGAATCTGGCAGGGAGCATCCTTTCTGTGGTGTTAATTGCCAAGGGGCTGTTTGCCAGGCACCAATAGTGTGGAACACACTTTGCCCATCCAAGGGGGCACTCTGGTCCATCCCTGTCCCCTCCTGGTCCTAAGAGTCCCCTTCTGCTTCTGCTTATTGCCTCCTTACCACCACAGAGACATAAGTGCAGAGAATTTTTTAAAAATATATATTTTATCGATTTTTTTACAGAGAGGAAGGGAGAAGGAGAAGGATAGAGAGTTAGAAACATCAATGAGAGAGAAACAGCTGCTTCCTGCACACTCCCTACTGGGGATGTGCCCGCAACTAAGGTACATGCCCCTGACCAGAATTGAACCTGGGACCCTTCAGTCCGCAGGCTGACGCTCTATCCACTGAGCCAACCTGGTCAGGGCATTTGCAGAATATTAAGAGCAGAATCAAACAGTGCACACAACATATAGTAATCCTTGGAAAACCAAGGTGGGAGCAGGTAAGATGGCTCCGGGCAGAATTCAGGACAAGACCCAAAATTAACACCGCAGCGGCAGCAGCAGCAGAGTTCTCACTTATTGAACACTAAATGCCAGACCCAGGGCCAACGATTATTAATTTTGCAGAGGAGGCAACCGAGGTTTGCAAAAATTCACACCTAGCTCTGCCTGCCTCTAAAACATTTGCTCTCAGCCACTGGGTTGGGAAAATAAAACGGGGGGTGGGGGGGGGGGAATCTGAGCACCCTGCCTCCTACCTGCTGCCCCCTTCCCTCCCTCTGCAGCTATGCGAGGCGGTTGGTGTAGTATGTCTTTCCAGGCCATCAGCCCAGGGCGGCACTTAATGGATGTTTATTCACGAAGCGGATCGCAATCACGCAGGGATCCCAGCCGACACCCCCTTCCCGGACCTCCCACAGACCCGCAAGGCCCCACGGGCTCCAGGACCCGGTCTCCGCAGCCTAGGCCTACCCGGGTGGCTTGGGGCAAATTCCACCTGGGTCAAACCGGGCGGTGGGAGGGGGCTGTCCCAGGAGAAGGGCCTCGGCAGCCGAGTATCCCGCCTGCGAGGTACAGAGAGCAACGTCGGCGCGCAGGACCGAGCAGACCCGCAGGCATTTTCCGAGGGTCGCAGCCCCCTCCCCCGTGGGCTCAGCCGCGCGGCCGGCGCCCCCCACCGACTTCCAAGCGCTCCTGTCCTCGCAGCTGGAAATCTCGCCGACGCCGGAGCCGAGAAAAGGCGGGCAGAGCGCCTTTCGGTAAGTTATGAATGGGTCGGAAGTGTTGGCGGAACTCATTGTTAAAACCCCGGAGCCCTCGGCTGGCCGCCGCACCGCCAATCCGGGCCCGGAGGCTATTTTGAAATCGCTCCCGCATCAGCCAATAGGTGTGCGGGAGGCGAGGCGCCGGCGCCGGCCAATGGGCGCGGCGTGACGCTCAGGAGCCGGGGGCTCGGCCGCGACGACTGTCAGCGGGTTAAAGATGGAGCTGGTGGGCGAGAGGGCGCCACGAGGTGCGGGGTCGGCCTGGTGCAGACGACGGGGACGGACGACCACCGGGACGTCTCTCCCGCTCACCCTCCGCGTCCTGCCCCGGGCCAGGGGCGGAAGGGGGTCCGGTCGCGTGAGTAGCAGGGTCCCCCTACCCGGCGAAACGACGCGGAGGGGCGCAGCCCCGACTGCAGGCGCTCTCTCCGGGCAGGGACTCCAGAGGGCGGGAACCCCCCCACCTACCCCCGTTCCTCTGCGCGCTCGGGCCTCGGGGCAGCGAATCTTTTAGGACAGAACGCGGAGCCCAAAGTTGGGGACCAGGGGCCAGGGATGGGGGCCTGAGCTGGCAGGGGCGTGTCGGCCCTAAGTGGGGCCACCCTTATCCCGGGGCCGCGGGCCGGGGAGGGCGCAGGGTCGTCGGGCTGAACCACCCTCGCTTCGGGCGCCAGTGGGCTTCGGACTGTGGTGGAGCACGGGCCCCTCTTCTTTGTGTGTGAGCCCCCCCGCCCCCCCCTCCCCCCGTGCGCTCCCGCTCCGGATTTGGAGCTACCCCATAGTTTGGGGGTCTCTCGTCCACCGCTATCTGGAGCGGGCTGAGTAAGGTCCGGGTGCCCTGCGATCCTGAGGACCCCGAGGACTGCAGTCCCGCTGAAATACCCCCTCCCGGCCCTGAGGTCCAGGACAGGCCTCTGACCCCACCCTCCTAGGATTGAGCTTCCACCCTACTCATATTGGGGGAGGGGGTCCCCCCTGCTGGCCACAGGTGCTCTGACGAGGTTGCACTACTGTGCTCTGAGAAGCAGTGCAATGATATTGTCAAAGCATCTGGGACCAACCATGGGGGCCCCCATCCCCCACACCTCCACCTCCTCCTCCCAGGCGGGGCCCCTTGGGCCTGCAGGTTCTCCCCTCCCCCCTGCCCTGCTGGCTCCCTTCTCCATGGAAACTTGAGATCCTGGCCAGGCCTGGGCCTCTGGGGTCAGAGGGCACCCTTCCCCCAGGCAGAGGCCCCGCCCCAGTGGGCCTGCATTCCTGGTCTGAGATCCCCACCGACAGACCACCGGGAGCGGCTAGGCAGGCGCTGGCAGGCCTGCCTGACACTCTTTCCCTGTTGCACTACTGTGGGCTGCTGGGAAGCAGTGCAATGATGAAAGGGCATCAGTCAGGTCTAGTCCACCACACGCAGCACCTGGGGGGAGGGAGTTTTGCTGCCTCAGTCCACTTCCCAGTATTAGGTAGTGGTTCGGGGCTGGGCCGGCCCCTCCATCAGAGGATTAGGTGAGTGCAGAGCTGGGGAATTGCTCCATAAACTCTCCCTCTGTTATGGCTGGACAGGTGCAGAGTCAGAGGCCCTGGATTAAGAAAAGCTCTGGTTTGAAAAAGATCTTTCAGACTAGCACCCTGGGTAAGACTCGGAACTCCAGGTTTGCTCAGGGTCTTGTAGGAGAATAGAGGCCACTGCTTTGCATGGAAGGTCTTTCTGGGCCTGGCTCAGACCCAGCTCACCCTTGACCACGTGGAGGTGAACTGGAACAAGCCCTCCTTGAAGGCTTGGGGAGGACCAGACTCTGGAGAGAATGCTCTCCTGGGTTCTAGGCAGGAAAAGCGCTATTTGGGGTGGGTGGGTATCCTTGGGATATGAAGCCCACAGGTGATGCCACCAACTGCACCATCTTGTTCTCTTACAGGGAAATATGCTGCCTGGAGCCTGCAGGAGGGACTTATGAGGTGCCTGGCATGCCCACCCTCACAGCTGGAATTGGGGGGATTGGAGCTGAACTGCCAAGGAGCCTGGCCCAGGCATGCTGGCAGGGCCATCTCCACCATCAGGACCTGACACAATGCACAATGACAGTTATGTGCCCTATGACAGTTATTTGAGCCCATCTCCTTAAGAGGAAGCCCAGGTTCCAGATGGGTGTTTGGGAGTTCCTCTCAACCCTAGCTGAGCACATTGGGGAGCCGGTTTCATCCTCATCCTGTGGGTAGAAGCCCTTGCATCCATGGGGAGGTTGAGGGGCAATAACACATGGAAGAAACAAGTCGTGGAAGAAGTGAGCCAGCTGGGCTGCATGGACTCAGGAAACAGGTTGCAGAGACAAAAGAAGGACCCTTGGAGCTTGGGAGAAAGAGAGGCAAAGAAAATGCCCCTGGGGGGAGGGAGGGGGAAAAGCAAGGTGTGCTCTAGAGAGAAAGCTTGAGCTGGGTCCTTCATCATATATATATATTTCAGAGAGGAAGGGAGAGAGAGAAATATCAATGATGTGCCCTGGCTTGGAATTGGTTCATAGGTCAATGTTCAACCACTGAGCCACACTAGCTTGGTGGGTCCTTCTTCTTAAGGGCTTTTATTTGGAGGTTTCAGGGAAGGATCTCAATAGAATATCAGGAGTGTCCTTACTGTCCTGGTCTCCACTGATTGGTTGACCCCCACCAGTCCTCAGCCATGGTGTTTGGTTTGGCTGCTTTTCTGGGCCTGGAACTGAAACACAACTGAGGCCTAGATTTTTCTCTCCAGTTTGATGGCAACTCTGTCTCTGGTCAACAGACCCCAGGCTTTGTTCCTAAGATTATTTGATTCAGGTCTTCTCATTGTCTTGAGGGATTAATGCTTCAGGAAGTGGTCATGCAAGGTCTTGTATGGGAGTCTACTCTCCACCCCCTTTTCCTCCTCGAAGGGAGTCTACCACATGACTAGCCACATGCCAGGGGAGCTGCGTGACCAACGATATGCTAGGAGAAGAAAGGTCACCTGGGGGTGAGGTTCCACCCTACAACTGCCTTTTCCAGGCACCTGGGACTTTCCACCCTGGTGACCTTGTGTACCTGGCCTATCCTTCCTACTCTGCTCATGTCTAACTGCCTACCATATGGGGGACAGGACAAGCGGGAGAAGGGTGGATTTCATGCTGGAGAGGAAGAGGAAGCGGTGAAAAGTGTGGGGCTGGAGTCGGGGCAGAGTGAAGTCCCCCGGAAGTTGTCTGCGGAAGAAGTAAGGCTCTGGCTGGAGGCCTGGGAGGCTACACACTATGAGGAGGGGGCGCAGCTGAGATGGGTCGGGGCTGGAAGCTGGCGTGGGGGGGGGGGTGGACGGGGAGGGGGGACGTGGGCCTTGAAGAAGCTGGAGGGTTCCTGCGCCTACCATGTTCTTGCTGTGGCCCTCGGCCAGCCCTGACCAAAGTCCTGCCGCCCGCGTCGGAATTAGGGTCTAGTCCTGCCCTGTGGTGTTCGCCCCCTCGAAAGTGCAAGAGCGCACGCCCAGAGCTGCGGGCATTGTCACGTGCGGCCCTCTCGCGCGAGTTGGCCCGTCAGCGATCTCGGAGGGGATTGGCTGGAGCCAGGGTGGGCGCGGCGCTGAGGCTGTCGGGAAGAGAGCGGGTGTGTGCCGAGGCCCCCACCGCCCACCGAGACCTGAGCCAGACCTGAGCCGGGGCGTAGGGAGCGGCCCTTCTCGCCCAGCCTGCAGCGGGTGGGGTCGGCGTGCCTGGACCCTCGGTGATCCCGCCCCGACGGCCGCCGCCAGCCCGCAGCCCCACCGAATGGAGATCCTGGACGAGTTCGACAGCGAGTTCCCCCAGAGTGTGACCTTCTGCCGGCGCATATCCGAGGAGGCCTTCGAGAGGCAGGCGGCCACTTACACGGAGCGCGCACTGCGCCGCCTCTTCCGCAGCCTCGACCGCAACCCGGCGCTGGCCGAGAGGGTGGTGCGGAAGGACAAGCAGGCCGAGTGCGAGCGGCGCGGGCTCCTCTCCTTCCTCTGGGTGCGGGGTGCAGGGGGAGCTGCGGGAGGCTGGGGGCGGGGGGAAGTCCTGCTGCCCACCAGGGCGGAACTCTGGGCATGGGGGGCAGGGAAGGAGGGAGGGCTTGGGCCCAGCTGGGTTTGCAGAGTTGGGGCTTTGAGAAGCCTGAGGGAACCCAGCTTGGGGAGTGCGGCAGGCAGGCAGGCAGGCGGCTCACGGGTCCAGCTTCCTTCCTCTTGCCCCACCTCTCCCGCTGCCGTCGCAGGCGAAGTTCTTCTGTGCAGTCCAGGGGGACCTGAACTTCTGCAACAGCATGGGCGCCGTGGAGATGCACCAGCGCCTGGAGCACCTGAAGAGGAGCATGCACCGAGTGCACCTCTACTCCCAGAGTGAGGCTCAACCTCTGTCTGCCCCGAGTAACCCAGCAAATCTGACCCAGGACCCGTTGTCCCTGAAGTCTTCATTATGAAAGTGAACATAACGCAGAACTAGAGACCACAGTGAACACAAGTACCCGTCACCTAGCTTCAGCAGCTACCCCCGTCTTGCCATGCTTGTTTCACTCTCTCTACCCCCCTTTAAGGGAAATCTCAGACATCACTGTATTCCTGAATACCTTTTAACGTCTCTTAATTAAAAAAAAAGTCAGCTTCTGACATAATCACAACGTCAAACCTGATACAATTAACAACAGTTCCCTAATATTCACTGATACTTAGTCCATATACGATCTCCCAGAAGGTCCATAACAGTCTTTCTACACTCGCTCTGTCATTTCAGGACCCAAGAAGACCCACCCATTGGTTTGGTTGGTAGCCCTCCTAGGTTCCTTTTCACTAGGGTGACCATAGAATTTGTGTCCACATTGGGGCACTTGTGAGGGTAAAATGAAAGGGTACTAGTACCATATTACTGACCGCACAGGGATGGCAAACGAGGGTCCGAGGCCACTGCTGCTGAAGTCCCCTTTGAGGTGGAAGGGAAGCCCGACTTCCTCCCCTCCCGGCTATGGACTTGAAGAACAGTGTTGTCTTTCAAGGACCACAGGGTTATCCCACATCATGGATTTGTCTCTGTTGTCTTGGTCATCAGTGATGTTTGTCCCCCTCTGCCTGTGTTTCTTGGACAGGCACTCTCCTGCCTTGATTAGATTTGGGTTCAGTTCTTTTGGTGTGTTTGTGTTCAGCAATAGATTATGCTGGTGGTGGGGCTACCTTCTTCCGCATCACACCGGGAGGCCCAGCTCACCCGGGTGTTTCACTCTCCGTGATGCCGAATGTGAGTGCCCCACGACACCATTTCATCTGACGGCAGGATGTCCAGCATGTGTACCTTTTACCACCGCCTCCTGAGGTAGCGTTGATGTTATTTTATCCTTGTTTTATGGAAGAGGAAACAGTCCAGGGAGGCTAGGTCACATAGTAAGTCATGGAGTCTGGACTTGAACTCAGGTCTGGATTGTTCCGGGTTGCAATGTCTTAACCTCCAGGACAGTGCTCCCTGGTATTAGTTATCCTCATTCTGGATGAGCTGATCTGATGGGCGGTATGAGGAGCCTGTTAACACCCACTTTGTTGGTAGTCTTCAACTTTGAACAGTAAATATAGCGAGACTTGTTGAAGTAGGAAGACCTAACATGGAGAGAGGAGAGGAATCAGACCCCAGTGTCCTTCCCCTCAAAGATTCCCTCCCTGAGCCCCTTCTGCTAGACCTCCTCCCTGAGGGTTTGCTTTCTCATAGAAGGGCCTTTTGCACACCCCAGGACAGCCCTGGGGCTGGGCATAGTGGTGGGCTCATTGTCCAGGGCCTGGATCCCCAAGAGTACTGGCGGATTCAAGAACTTTCCTCTTGCCCTACCTGTTGGGGGTGGGGGAAGCAGCAGACCAACCTGCCCAGGTCAAACCCAGCCCTCCTTGGCACTTCCTATGAAAATCTGCCCTTGAAGTCAGGCAGCCTGGTCGTGGATCCTGCCTGTGCCGTGTACAGTTGGAGTTTCTGGTTCCACTTGAAGATAGGGACAAAAGTACCTTTTCCACGTGAGGCAGTTGTGGTGTCAGTGAGATGGTGCATTGCTATGTGGTGCCCTTTGGGGGGCCCACCTCCCCTCTTTGTTGGAGAAGCTGAAAACACCATCGTGTTTGGCCCCACTCCACCCTGTTCTGGCTGAGGGATAGGCACCCACTGGCACCTTTTTGTCACAGAAGCCAGGAAGAAGAGAAGGAAGCCAAAAGTAAAGAAACTAGAACCCGTCCTCTTGCGGAACCGGTCAACCTCCCCATGCCTGCCGCCAACACTGCTGCCACCTCCACCACTGCCACCACCTGCCACCACCATGTCCTCTGTGGTGGTCCGGTCGTCACCCTCTGTCTACACTATGCCCAGGGTCTTTGGCCCCTTTCCTCCGCTGCCTAGCAAGTCGGTCAGTGGGTGTTTTGCGCCCCCCCCCCCCCCCCGCCCTTACAATCCTGGGAGGGGCAGCCACTCCCACAGCTCTCTTGGGCCCACAGCAGTGATTCTCAGAATGTTGTTTTTAAGCAGCAGAGACCTTTTTAAGACTATAGGCAAAGTCTTGGGTGGAACAGCAGTGGATAAAGCAATAAAAGGGGGGCTACTCTGATTGAATAATTGGGGTAGGGGTCGAAGGCTATCTGCTTGGCCTCAGCTGAGCAAGGCAACCCCAAATGGCACTGGGCAGAATCCTAGGGCTGCCAGAGGACAAGTGGAGGACCACAGCACCCCCCCTCCCCCCACCCCAGCCATCATGACTCTCTCTGACGCTGTCATTCTCCTGTAGTGCCCTTCCTCACCTCCTACCCCTCCTGACTCCCGCTTATCTTACACACTCCCTCCAGCCAGCCCCTCCTCCCCAGGCTGGATTAGGACCTTCTCAGTTGAGCACAGAGGAGGAGCCTGACGTATTTACTGATTAAAATGAAAGCCACATAGTTCTCATATAGGTAATTCCCCCCCTCCCCCCCACGGTGAGGCCCTCAAACTTGTCCTGACATTACCTTTGTTTCCAGCAGACAGAGAAATTGGAAGTTTCAAGTTCTGAAGTGAAATTAAACTGGCCTGGCCTGTCATTGAACCCAAAGAGGTAAAAGGAATTTACTTTGGGCTCGAGGTAAGTGAAAGGGAGCATGCTTTGTGCCAGGCTCAGCTATTATTTCCTCCCCACCTCCTAGTTAACCCTCGCCACAGTCCTGAGTGGTTATTCTCATTGTTCAAGGAAGGAGTCTGGGCTCAGCAATCTCTGTCCCCATGTCAGAGTGGTGCCCACCAAGACTGGAGACGCCCGCCTAGGAGGATCCCAGAGCTGACAGTGCCTCTCTGCCCTGTCTTGCAGCCACATGATTAATCTGACCCCCTTGGTCCTCAGACCTGGAGGCTTCCATTTCTCGTACCTGCCCAGAAACGGTGTGCACAAGCTCCACTACCCTGGCTTCCCCTGGTAAGTGTGCTTCTGAGCATCCCTGGGGCCAGGTACCATTCTGGCTCAGCCTCTGCTTTGCTTCTGACCAGCGTTGTGGTGGCGTGGACAAGGGCTAGGCAGATGGTCTTTATGATGATGCCTTCCACTTCCAGGAAGGACCCTTATGTAATCAGGAGTGAAAAGCTCCCTACTGTTTGTCACGGTGAGAAATTAGAAACAGCCCAGACGCCAACAGAAAGGGAATGATTCCATCAACGTGGGCAGCCCTATCTGGGATTTATATACATGCTTGTTTTGCAAAGCAGGGATTTACTGAATATGGGGTTTTAAAAATCACCCGTGTGTTTTCACTTACGGATATTAAGTATTTACTGTATCATTGAGTGTTATTCTAAAATATGATTTAGACTGGCTGTTTCATTGCATCAGCTAACTTTAAAAAATATTTCTTCGTTGATTTTAGAGCAGAAGGAAGAGGGAGAGAGAGAGATAGAAACATCAATGATGAGAGTGAACCATTGATTGGCTGCCTCCTGCACGCCCCCCACTGGGGATCAAGCCTGCAACCTAGGCATGTGCCCTTGGCCAGAATCGAACCTGGGACCCTTCAGTCCGCAGGCCGACACTCCATCCACTGAGCAAAACCGGCTAGGGCCAGATAACTTTTTGAATAGCCTTATTGATATATTATTACTTACATATTACATAATTAACTTACATTAAAGTATACAATTCAGCTCTACCCGGTTTGGCTCAGTGGATAGAACATCGGCCCTTGGACTGAAGGGTCCCAGGTTTGTTTCTGATCAAGAACACGTACCTGGGTGGCAGGATTCATCCCGACCCTGGTTGGGGCACATGCGGGAGGCAACCGATTGATGTGTCTCTCTCACATCCTTGTTTCTCTCTCTCTGTCTTTCCCCCTCCCTTCCACACTCTCCCTAAAGATCAGTGGAAAAAATACACTTTGGCAAGGATGAAAAAAAAAACAAAAACACCCACCTTTAATTTCACCAATAATAATAGATGCAAATACTCCATTGTATGGATGGAACATCATTTACTGAACCATTCTTTAAAAAAAAAAGATTTTTAGCCGAAACCGGTTTGGCTCAGTGGATAGAGCGTCGGCCTGCGGACTGAAAGGTCCCAGGTTCGATTCCGGTCAAGGGCATGTACCTTGGTTGCGGGCACATCCCCAGTAGGAGATGTGCAGAAGGCGGCTGATCGATGTTTCTCTCTCATCGATGTTTCTAACTCTCTATCTCTCTCCCTTCCTCTCTGTAAAAAATCAATAAAATATATTAAAAAAAAAAGATTTTTATTGATTTTTAGAGAGAGAAGGAGGAAGAGGGAGAGAGAAATATCTATCTGCTACCTCCTCCACACACCTACTGGGCATAGAGTCTGAAACCCAGGCATGTGCCCTGAGAGGGGAATCCAACCAGCAACCTTCCAGTACATGGGGCAGTGCCCAACCAGCTGAGCCACACTGGCCAGGGCTCAACCATTCTTGCCTGTTGAAGTATTTCACTAATGGGGACAATTTTTAGGTTCTTGTTACATTGATTTCTGAGAGCTGTGCTCTCATGATGCCACCTGCAAAAATAGGTTATTTTTAATTGGTTTAAAAAATTTTACAAAAGCAGAACACATTCCATGGGGAAAAGTTCACAATACAGAAATGCATACATAAAATATGAGTCCCCTTGTTGCTAAAAGTCCTGCTGCTAAGAGTTTCATGTGTACTCCTCCAACACACACATACACTCACAGGTTAATTTTTCAACCAAAGCAGGATCACATTGTATGTATTTCTCAGCAACTTGCTTTTTCCCATTACTGTAGCATTGGGGTGTCTTTACTTGTTGGGATATACAGACCTACCTCATTCCTTTAACGGCCCCAGAATAGTCCACTGCATGGCTGTACCTGGTTCCCTAATGGATGTTTAGATTGTTTCCAGGTTTTCACAGTCACATTGCTGCAGAGAGCAGCCTTGAACACACATTGTTGGGAGAGATTTTTGGAAGTATAAATGTGTCTAGAGTCATCCCACCGCCTGGGAAGGGGGTTGTCATGTGTACTCCAGGTGGTGTTGATGTCCCATCTCATGGACATATCTTGGCTGTCTCCTGCGCAGGACCTCAGCCTGTAATGACTCCCCCAGCACCGAGGAGACACCAGCCCCTCCTGTGGAGACCCCCGTTTTCACTCCACCTGTCCTGCTCAAGTTCCAGCCTGTGCCCAGACCTAGAGATGACTCAGAGACTGACCATGGCAGTACACAGTCTGTGCCCCACAAGCGGGGCCCATAACCTCTTCCCTGCAGACTGTGGCGGAGGAATGAATAAAGTTCTCATGGAGGTGCCTTTGCATGCTGGGCTTCTTAGGGGCTGTGCAATCTCCATGGGCTCCCTGAACCCTGAAGAGCTTGTCAGGGTAGTGCTGTCCTGAGGTCTTGAGGCCTGAGCTTACATACATTAGGTGGTCAGGTCAGTGCTACTGTGAACTCCCCTCGCTTGCCATCTAACATGGGAATTCAGCCACGTGCATCTTGAAAGAGAAATGAGTGAGGAGAGAGCGATGCCTTTCCCTGCAGTGACTCTGTGGCCTCTCACTTGACCCCACTGACTTGCAAGTCTACCTTTTTTCTTCCTACACCTGGCCCCTGAACACAAGCCTCATCTGGGTACAAGTTTAGAAACAGCGATCTGTTCCCTCCCTAGAGTAAAATGAGCTGGTGTGTCAGTTTCCGACTTGGCACCTTCCTAGGGAATTTCAAAGATAGTGACTCTAATGGTTGCTTCACACCCTGACCTTAGAAACAAACCTGCATGTGAGATGTGAGCCTTCACAAAACAATACTGATGGACATTAGCAGATATTCACTGAGCCTCTGTGTATGTCCCACAACTTGCTTGGGACTGGAGATAATAAACCAAGCAGTTGGGGCCCCTTCCCTTAAGGAACTTACATCCATCCCATCCTCGTGTGTGTGTGTGTGTGTGTGTGTGTGTGTGTGAGAAACCAGTATATAGATCAAATTAATACTGATTATAAGTTGTGATAAGCCCTATGGGAGCTGAGACGGAGATGTATGGGGTGTGTGGGTGGGCGAGGAAGGTCTCTTTGAGGAGGTGACACATGTTGAAACCTATAAATGAGAAGGGGCCAGCCATGAGGTGAGATGAGAAGGGCAGGACAACTGGGTTTGTGTAAGTAGGCGGAGAGTGGTATGGTGGGGGAGGGTGGAGACAGGGGAGGGGGGGGGATTCCGCGCTCTCAGGAGACATTACATTGGGAATCAGTGGGTGCCCGAGTAGAGGTCAGGAGTCTGGAGCACTGGCAATTTAGTGTTGGGGTCAGGGGTTACCAGTGGACTTAAACCCAACCGCGAGACTGGGCAAGGTCACCAGTACTTGAGTGCAGACAGACGTCTGGGGCTCTGGCCAAGGGAAGGGTGGGTCAGAAGATACTCAAGGGATCAGTGAGGGCTTTGGACCTTCTGGCTTGGGCCACTCAGGAGAAGGCCCTGGAGGCTGCGGAAACCCAGTGGGTGGGGAGAATGGAAGGTGAGCGGGTACATAGTGATTGTGGACGTCGCTTGGAGACATCTGTCATTGAGGGGAGCAAAAATGGAGCGGAGGCTGGTGGGACTTCAGGCTCCAGGCGGGCTGCTTAAAAGACCTGAGGCCTGGCTGGGTGGTTCAGTGGTTGAGTGTCCACCTACGAACCAGGTGGTCACAGTTCCATTCCCTGCAGGGGCACATGCCTGGATTGCTGGCTCGATCCCCAGTGGGCGGCGTGTGCGGCCAATTGGTGGTTAGCTCTCACGGTTGATGTTTCTGTCTCTCCTCCCTTTCTGAAATCAATAAAAATACATAAAAAAAAAAAAAAGACCTGAGGGCCCAGGTCAAACCAAGACGGGTTTGAGTGGGGAGGGCACTGAGTAGGGCTGGGAGGGAAGGCGAGGCGCTTGGCAGAAGACGGGCTTCGAGTCAGAGGCAGTTCAGCTCTGACCGAACAAAAGCCCAATTGGGAAACTCGGCTCAGGGACCGGCTGCGACAGCGACTGGCGCGCTGGCCTCCAGGGACCACAATTCCCAGCATGCTCAGCGCCCACTTCCGGGAGGGACCCGGAAGTACTTAAGGATCTCGGCTGGAAGGCGGCGGGACGCGGCTGGCTGGGTTGTATGTTGACCATTTTCCGCGTTCGCTGGTCCTGCTGCCGCCGACGCCGCCGCCGCCGCCAACATGGGGAAGCGACAGCACCAGAAAGACAAGATGTAAGTTGAGCCGCAGCCAGGCGCTCCTGGCTCTGCCTTAGTCTCGCTCGGCCTCCGTCTCTCCCGTTCTGCGCTCTCCGGTGTCTTCGGCTCCCGCTTTCAGAGTGGACCCCAGGACCCCCTCAGGTGTCGCTTCCTCCCGAAGCTTCCGTCACCTCAGGTGGAGCAATACCTTCCCCTCCCCCCCAGCCGCCCAAATCTCCCGCTTGGAGGCGTCTGCTCTCCTTCTAGATTCAGAATTTAGACCGTAAGTGCTCTCACCTGGGCGCGGCCTTCCCACCTGGGCGCTCCTCGGACACGGCCCCCGACTTCGCTTTTGGCCTGTCCGCTCGCGCCTGAGCCAGCCCCTCCCGGGGCGCTGGTCCCTGCGCAGCAGCTCACACACACGTGCAGAGCCTTCGGGTGTCAAACACCCGCCTCTCCCACAGTCCCCTCCAGCTGCCACCTGCTTCCAGCGTGCAGGCTTGTCCACTGGCTCTTTTCTGCTGTCTCTAGAAACGACTTCGGTCAGGCTCTCGTGCCCAGCACTACTCTTTTTACTTTTTCTTTTAATTTTTTTGTTGGTTAAGTTATTACATCTGTGTCCTTATCCCACGTTACCCCCTATCCGCCCCCCCCCCCCATGCCCTCACCCCCCTGTTGTCTGTGTCCATTGGTTAGGCCTATATGCTGTATACAAGTCCTTATCCCCACCCTCCCCCACCTTCCCTCTGAGGTTTGACGGTCTGATCGATGCTTCTCTGTCTCTGGATCTGTGTTTGTTCATCAGTTTATATTGTTCATTACATTCCACAAATGAGTGAGATCATGTGGTATTTACCTTTCCCTGACCGGCTTATTTCACTTATCATAATGCTCTCCAGTTCCATCCATGCTGTTGCAAATGGTAAGAACTCCTTTTTCACTGCAGCGTAGTATTCCATTGTGTACATGTACCACAGTTTTCTAATCCACTCTTTTTATTTTTATTTATTTTTTTAATATATTTTTATTGATTTCAGAGAGGGAGAGAGAGAGGTAGAAACATCAGTGATGAGAGAGAATCATGGATCGGCTGCCTCCTGCACATCCCCTACTGGGGATGGAGCCCCCAACCCTGGGCGTGTGCCCTAGGCTGGAATCGAATCCGGGACCCTTCAGTTCGCAGGCCGACACTGTATCCACTGAGCCAAACCAGCGAGGGCCCCAGCACTGCCTGGGTCAGGATCCCAGTGACGTCCATGTTGCTCCGTCTGGTGGTCAGTTCTCAGTCCTCATTTGGTCGTGCTCCTCAGCAGCATGTGACACGACTGGCCACCTCTCTCCTTCCGAGCCCTTCTTGGGGGTCCTCCTCCCCATCCCCCAGTGGGTGATCGGTCTGGTCTTGCAGTAGTCAGCTGCTTACTCACATCTTCACCTGAAAGTCTAATGGAAATCGCAAATGTAACATGCCTCAAAGGGAACCTTGTTTTTCAGAGCCCGAGCCTCTCCTCCCTCATTTTCCCCGCCGCAGTTGGCTCGGGTCAGAAGTCTGGGAGCTCGCCTTGGCACCTCTTTCCCTCAGCAGTCTTTTTCTCCAGCCCATTGGCAAGTCCTGCTGGCAGTTTCAGGAACTGACCACTCTCTCACCCACCAGCTCCCACAAAGGGGAGTTGATGTCAACTCCTTGGACCTTGGTAGTTATCTCCCGATTGGGTTTCTGCTGCCTCTCTTGCTTGTCCCTCCATAGGAAGCAACCAGAGGGATGCTTTGAGGACGAACGTTAGATCGTGTCAGAGCTCAAACCCGCCAACAGCTTTCCGTTCTGTCTACAGCAAACCCAGGGCCCTCACATGGCCTGCAGGCCCCTTGTGATCGGGTCACTGTCGGTGTCTCCTGCACCTGCTGCCACGTGGCCCCACACGCAGTCAGTGGCTTCACCCCTTTATGGGGACACAACAACTTTTCCTGCTTCGCGGCTCTTATAGGTGATACACCTGCTTGGTCCTTCTGCCTGGAAAGCTCTTTCCCCAGATCTTCACGTGGCTGGCTCCTTCTCACCATCCAGCCTCTGTTAAGTTCAGTTCATTTTCTTCAGAGCAAAGCAGGACTGTTTGCATTTGTTCCTCGTTTGTGTATCCCCATGTCTATTGTGATTATCAGTATCTGACTTTTGCATCGTAGGTGTTTAGGAAACATTTGCTGACTCAGTAAAATGATTCAGTCATCCATTACTTCGGGAGACTGTCCTCTTTACAAAGGGGGTGGAAGTAAGATTTCTCTTTCTCTCCTTCAGGTACATTACCTGTGCTGAATACACTAACTTCTATGGTGGCAAGAAACCAGGTAAGGCACGAAATCCTTCTCTTCCCCTTGGTATGTGTGGGGGTGTAATTAAGGAATCATGTCTTCACAACAGTGAGCCTGTCAAAAATAACAATGGCCCTGGCTGGTTTGGTTCAGCGGATAGAGAGTCGGCCTGCAGACAAAAGCGTCCCAGGTTGGATTCAGGTCAAGGGCACATGCCAGTTTGCAGGCTTGATTCCCAGTAGGGGGCGTGCAGGAGGCAGCCGATCAGTGATTCTCATCGATGTTTTTCTCTCTCTCTCCCTCTCCCTTCCTCTCTAAAATCAATAAAAATATATTTAAAAAATAATACTAACAATGAACAAGAACATGGAAACTATAGTAGACAAATGGGCTGAGGACACAGACAAGTCAGAAAAGAGGAAGATATATGAGAAAATGTCTAATCTTGGTGTGATTTTTAAATATGTTTTTATTGCCTGACTGGTATAGCTCAGTGGATTGAGCATCATCCCATGGAACAAGAGGTCCTGGGTTGGATTCCCGATCAGGGCACACTTCTCAAAGAGGACATACAGATGGCCAAGAGACATATGAAAAAATAAAATATATTTTATTAATTAATTTATTTTTAACTCTTTATTGTTGACAGTATTACATATGTCACCCTTTTTCCCCCATTGACCCCCCTCCAGCCCACCCTTGCCCCAGGCCCTCTCACCCCACTATCTGCATCCATGGGTTATGCGTATATACATAGGGCGATTTTAGTTGATTACCTTCCACCCACCCACCCTACCCCG